GTCAAACTCAACCCACAGACCAGCTCCAAAGACCTACAACATGATCTTGCTGCAGATAGTGTCACTGTGCATCGTTCAACTATTCAGCACACTTTGCACAAGGACATGCTGTATGGGAGAGTAATGCGGCAGAAGCCTTTTCTGTGCCCATGCCACAAAAAGAGTCGATTGAGGTATGCTCAATAAAGCAATAAAGCACATTTGGACAAGCCAGCTTCATTTTGGAATAAGGTGCTGTGGACTGAAGAAACTAAAATTGAGTTATTTGGACATAACAAGGGGCGGTATACATGGCAGAAGAAGAACACAGCATTCCAAGACAAACACTTGCTACCCACAGTTAAATTTGGTGGTGGTTCCATCATGCTGTGGGGCTGTGTGGCCAGTGTAGGTACTGGCAATCTTGTTAAAGTTGAAGGTCACTGCGTTTGTTTGCTATATGATATATTTAATTGAAATTGCTGTTCCGAACAACCAATGATCCATAAAGGAAAATCTTGAAAATCAGGGGTGCCCAAACTTTTTCATACCACTGTATTTAAGGCAAAGGAGTACTATTAAAAATAACCTCTAAATGTACAACCAGACAGACATAGCTAAAGATTAATTCTCCTCTCTGTTGAAGGAGAAACAGTTTTTACTCAAGCACCTCTGTGACAGAGTAAAACAAAGTGGCAAAGAACGGCTTTAAGTGAAGACAGAAATCCAAAGTGTTCCACAGTATCCACAGGAGAATCACCCAGGGTGATGGGCACGGATGGGGGTGGGCTAGTCCTGAAGTCCACTGTCATCTCCACTGTTTTTAGGGCATTGAGCTGTAAGTTGTTGAGTCTACACCAGGTCACCAGGCGGTCAATCTTCCATCTGTACGCTGATTCATCCTCATCAGAGATGAGGCCAATGAGGGTGGTGTCATCCGCGAGCTTCAGGAGCTTGACGTTCTGATGGCTCGATGTGCAGGTGTTTGTGTACAAGGAGAAGAGCAGAGGAGAAAGGACACAGCCCTGCGGAGAGCCAATGCTGATGGTCCGGGAGTCTGAGGTGTGCTTACCCATCCTCAAATGCTGACTCCTGTCAGTCAGGAAGTCAGTGATCCACCTACAGGTGGAGTCAGGTACATTGAGCTGGAGCAGTTTACTCTGTAGGATAGCTAGGATGATAGTGTTGAAGGCTGAGCTAAAATCCACAAACATGATTCTGGCGTAGGTCCCTGTGTGGTCTAGATGCTGCAGGATAAAGTGGAGGGCTAAATTGACCGCATCATATACAGACCTGTTGGCTCTGTAGGCGAACTGCAGAGGGAGTGGATCAGTGTGTAGTAGGTAGTCAGTGTGTTAGGTAGTCACTTAATCCGGAGGGTTTTTGCTTTTTGGGGACAGAGATGATGGTGGAGGATTTGAAGCAGGATGGCACTTGGCATATCTCCAGTGAGGTGTTGAAAATGTCTGTGAACATTGGGAAGAGCTGGTCAGCACATTGCTTCAGGGTAGCAGGTGGGATGTGGGCCGGCTGCCTATTCATGTCTTGCTCTTTGATAGCAAGAGTCGGTCCAGTGTTGGAGGTGAGGGGGGAAGCTGGGGGAGCTGGATAAGGCGTCGGAGTTGCTGCAGTGGGCAGGGTGGGCGTGGCTGTGCAGGGGAAGGGATCAGGACAGACCCATTGTCTTTCAAAGCGACGGTAGTGGTCGTTCAGCTGAAGTTTCCCATTGGCTCCACTGGACCAATGCTTTGATGTCCTCACTATGGCGTTTGCACCGTTTCAGTTTCTGCCTATAGGAAGGAATTATATGGACCATGGTGTGGTCCGAGTGACCCAGTGCAGCCTGAGAAACAGCATGATAGGCATTGGTGGTGTAACAGTGATCCACTGTGTTCCCCTCCCTAGTCGGGCACTTAATAAACTGTATATACTTTGGGAGCTCGTGGCTGAGATTTCCTTTGTTAAAGTCCCCGAGGACAATAACCAAGTCTGGATTTGTCTGGATGGATGGATGGATGGATGGATGGATGGACTTTTGTAAGTTTCAAGTGATTTCAGTGAGAATTGTGGGTTTTCCCTTCTTTAACTGAGGGGTACCAACAATTTTGTCCACGTGTGTATATATTATAATCCTTTCTATTACCATTTGTGAAAAAAAAAAACAGTTTACTGAAATATTTTAGATTGAGCGTGATTATTTTCTCTTTTACAGTATGTGCTGCATTGGATAACATTTTTACATTCCCTCTGATTTCAGATGTAAATGTAAAGAACATAAAAAATTGCTACCCTAAACCCTGAGAGAACAGATATATCAACAGGGATTTTCTGTGTAGCCCCAAATAATGTGCTTCCACTCTGAACACAGTGAGAAGCACGTATTTATAGCATTTTCATGTCTATAGTAACGTGCTACCATTCTGAATACAGTGAGAACGTCATGCTCTCAACCCCTCCTATAGTCCTCCATGTCGGAGGGTACTGACCCAGAAAGTGTCAGATATGTATGAGAGAGAAGCAGTACCACTCAGGAGAAGGGTCTCCAAAGTGTCAGCAGTTTGCCTAACAACTGACTGTTGGACGTCAAGGATGGACCCACCTACTGTGCCTGGCACACACCATACATCTTGTGGTAAGAGATGCCCTCAAAGGTCCACAACCAATCATCAATAAAGTTAAGGAGGCAGTGGAATACTTTCATAGAAGCACAGTGGGAGCACAAAAACTGAAGGAAACACAGCTCCAACTGAGGATGGACGAACTACAACCCAAACAGGACTGTGTCACAAGATGGAAATCAACATATTACATGTTGCAGAGTTTCCTCACCAACAAGAACCCCATTGTCTCCACCCTGGCTGTCACCAATGCACCTGTCCACCCTTTAGCTCCAGAAGAATGGACTACATTGCAGGAGATATGCACCCTCTTGAAGCCATTTGAAGAAGTCACTGTTGAACTCAGTGCAGAAAGGTATGTAGTTCAACTGGTCAGCGGTAGTTTTCTATAGCATACATGCAAATTAGCTCATACTAAATTATGACTATTTGATACATAACATATACTGTGTAATATATCATAGTATTTCTTTTTGTTGGTACAACTTTATAATTGTATTGTTATAATAACATTTATCTTTTTTCTCACTAGCTACCTGACTGCTTCCAAAGTAATACTGCTGGCCAGGGGACTGCAGAGAGCCACGGCTGATTTCCAGAGGAGGGCAACAACACAGGCAGCAAAAGACATGGCCAACTCGCTTTCTTCTGGCATGTCAGCTAGAGTCCATAGAATGGAATCTGACCACATCTTTGCGGATGCTGCTGCGCTTGACCCAAGATTCAAAAGGAAGGCTTTTCAAAGAGTATCAACTGCAGCAGCAAGACTCACAATTAGCAGCAGCGAACCCATCCAGCAACCAGTCGAAGAGGAAGGAGCAGGCAGTGCTGCTTCGGAATCAGTTGTTTGGAGCTATTTCCATGAAGAAGTAAGGATGGCAAAAATTCATCACATTTTTTTCTCTAAATCTAGGATGACACCAGTCTAATATCACAATCTCATAAAAACATGTTTTTTCTCCCACCTCTATTAGCAGGTAGCTGGAACAGTGGCAACTCGGAACCCCACAGCAGACGCTGTCATAGAGGTGCGGGCGTACCTAGAGGAGCCTCTTGTTTCAAAAAATGAAGATCCTCTCAAGTGGTGGAAAAGTCGGGTGCCTGTATTATTGGGGTTATGGTTCAGAACTTTTTTTTTTAGAAAGTAACTATATGCACCTCAGGAAAGTTCACTAGTCCATTGTACAGTTTGTAGTAGTACTAGTGAGCTGTATGCACATTTTTCTGCATTGTAAGAAATGTTCTTGTGTGGACATTTTGCACTAAAAGCTTTAACATGGAACTTCATTGTAGCCTGCTTTGTTTTTTTTTATTGTGTATTTATAAGTGTTTAGGTGTTGCATGAATAACATAAGTCAAAGTAGTTTACACACATACAAACACTGTATACATTGGGTAAATAGTGATCTCACTGTCAACTCAGAGGGATATGGCAGTGGAATATTTACAATGAATCCATATGCAGTCGCTACCCAAATCACATTGCACCATACCAACCCCCCAAACCCTCCTGCGGGTGGTGAGTCCACTGGAAGGTATTAACCGCCCTAACCGGGACACCCACACCAATGACAGAGACATTGCCTCTGGGCCAAAGCGCCACTAAAATAAAACCAATAGGTGCAAAATAATATTGTTGTATTGTGTTCTCTTGTTTTTCCAGGCAACCATGGAGTTCTAACTTGACCAAACTGAAGTTTTCATCCTTTGTGCCAAGGAAAACCATGGAGTGCAGCAGGTATGCTTTACCTAGTATGGTACAGTATTTTACACTTTAGTAAGAAATTAATTTGGTAACAAAGGCTAAATACTGTAGGTCCTTGCCAACTGTAAAAGGTGACTGATTTTATTAGGTTAAGGTGACCTGCGGCTTTTCAAACATGTCTGTGTCAAGAATCAAACCATTTCACGTAAAGACTATTTTGGCAGCTTTATATTGCACTGGTCTTTTTTTACTGTATTGGTGGCACCACCAGGGTACACAAATCAGTGTTTTATAGTGCCAGTCCCAAGCCCGGAAAAATGGTGAGGGTTGTGTCAGGAAGGGCATCCGGTGTAAACCCTTTACCAAATCAAAGACTGCGAATTAAAACGTTTTCCATCCCGGAAACGGTCGGGGCCCAGGTCAAAAACGACCGCCAACAGTGCTGTTGACCTACAGGGTACTGATGGAAATTGGGCTACTGTTGGTCAAAGACAAAGAAGAAAAGGAGGGCGTTTGGTTAGGAGAAAAAGACAAAAGAGGAAGGATAGAAGTGTCGGTCTGAAGTTTGTAGTTAGCTCGCTTTCTTCTGGCATGTCAGCTAGAGTCCATAGAATGGAATCTGACCACATCTTTGCGGATGCTGCTGCGCTTGACCCAAGATTCAAAAGGAAGGCTTTTCAAAGAGTATCAACTGCAGCAGCAAGACTCACAATTAGCAGCAGCGAACCCATCCAGCAACCAGTCGAAGAGGAAGGAGCAGGCAGTGCTGCTTCGGAATCAGTTGTTTGGAGCTATTTCCATGAAGAAGTAAGGATGGCAAAAATTCATCACATTTTTTTCTCTAAATCTAGGATGACACCAGTCTAATATCACAATCTCATAAAAACATGTTTTTTCTCCCACCTCTATTAGCAGGTAGCTGGAACAGTGGCAACTCGGAACCCCACAGCAGACGCTGTCATAGAGGTGCGGGCGTACCTAGAGGAGCCTCTTGTTTCAAAAAATGAAGATCCTCTCAAGTGGTGGAAAAGTCGGGTGCCTGTATTATTGGGGTTATGGTTCAGAACTTTTTTTTTTAGAAAGTAACTATATGCACCTCAGGAAAGTTCACTAGTCCATTGTACAGTTTGTAGTAGTACTAGTGAGCTGTATGCACATTTTTCTGCATTGTAAGAAATGTTCTTGTGTGGACATTTTGCACTAAAAGCTTTAACATGGAACTTCATTGTAGCCTGCTTTGTTTTTTTTTATTGTGTATTTATAAGTGTTTAGGTGTTGCATGAATAACATAAGTCAAAGTAGTTTACACACATACAAACACTGTATACATTGGGTAAATAGTGATCTCACTGTCAACTCAGAGGGATATGGCAGTGGAATATTTACAATGAATCCATATGCAGTCGCTACCCAAATCACATTGCACCATACCAACCCCCCAAACCCTCCTGCGGGTGGTGAGTCCACTGGAAGGTATTAACCGCCCTAACCGGGACACCCACACCAATGACAGAGACATTGCCTCTGGGCCAAAGCGCCACTAAAATAAAACCAATAGGTGCAAAATAATATTGTTGTATTGTGTTCTCTTGTTTTTCCAGGCAACCATGGAGTTCTAACTTGACCAAACTGAAGTTTTCATCCTTTGTGGGAACAGTGACACACGAATAGCACGAAAGGAAGTGACGTTCCCTCAGGTGCTGTGGGAACCGGCAGTAACACTGAACTCTCCGATGGGTTTTAATCGTTTTCACTCCATTATTTTGGGTTAACAGTCGTTCACATTAGTGCTGTTTGTGGCCGCGGGCTCTTGTTTTCATTAGAGAGGCTGTAAAGGCCTCATGACGTGCTGTCATCAGCGTAAGGATGGTGACAAAAATGAAAGAGAAGG